AGCCAGGAAGTCTGACCAATAGACCGCGTACCATAATTTCAATTAATTGTTAGATTTGTAATTGCTGTGTTGGTATGCATGTGACTAGGGCAAAATACGAAATGTCATTATCCAAGGATCCAGTTACGGGAGGGAAATTTATGTCAGGATTAAGCAGGGTCTGCATTTTTGGTGTTCTGCTGATAAAGATAAAAACGAAATTCTCTCTGTCCTTAATGAATGAAGTACCACACACCTTTGGGGAGTGGAGGTACAGCTCCACCATTCCTGACCTCGGTACTGTATGAAAGTGGTGAACTTCGCTCTCCCTCTGCCGCTTTATCTTCAGGGAAAGAGAGCCTGGTACCCATTAGAAAACCCCAGAACCGATCTGGACCCTACGGAGAACAGATAAATCTTGCCGTTGCCGGAAATTGAAAGCCGTCCGTCCAGGCCGTAGCCGGTCGGTATCCCTGCTCCTGGTCACATATCACCATTTTCGGGTACCGAAATGTAGGGCAAACTCGTTAGTTGGCTCAGCAGACAAAATTAATTAGGAACAACATGGTTAATTTTGACTTACATAAACCCTCTTTCATGTTTAGCAATCGAAATTTTGTAATAAATAAGAATAAGTAAAATAATTTTTCCAAAATTAAAATATTTTATAGATTAAATTATATAGATATATATATATATAGATTTTATAGACCCGAGAGGTTTGCAGTTTGAATCTGGGTTGGATTATCTGCTGTCGTGACTAAAGATTTTGTAGTATTCTTCAGTCTTTAAAGGTGATTGATTACCGCCTTTCTTCAAATCCTCACGTATCATTCATGTTCATGTTCCCAGCTCATTCAACATTAAGTGATTTCGGTAGTCATATTGTTAATAACCTAAGAATGAATCAAGTTCCGCCCATTGTATCCTTTCGGACTGAATCGCCTTGGCACTTTCTGATGTACAGTGCAAATTGACAAAGATCCGTCTTTATAATTAATGTCTTTAAGTCTGTGAGGACGATTCCAAATAAAAGCTGGGACTGCCGTAGGTCATGGACGTACACCTCAGTTTACTCTGCTAGGGAATGAGCTTGTGATGCCCAGACTCCTGAACTTCAAACCTATGAACAAACGAGACCTTGAAGAGACTGAGCCATGTTTATTCTAACAAATGTCCTTCATTTCCTTTTGTGAAGGAGAAAATGGTACCAGTAGATGAATAATGCAACACATGTTATTTATTCCGGTTCTATTTCCTCCTGTCCACAGCATACGCCATCTGGCGACGAAGACTGGCACTACAATTAGGTAGGACTCCAATAAAGGTCAATACTCCTCTCATATTATCCAGCATTTCCTGCCATCTGTCGACCGTATTCCACAACTTATGGTATTTTTCCAGTCGCCGAGTATGTAATGTCGTCTACAAATTACGTTTGTATTGCTCTTCAGGAGAAATATTTAGATCTAAGACAGATGGAGCATCTAGAAGAATGTGTGAATAATGAGAAACTTTACAACTTTCGCTCGTCACCAAATGTTTTAAGGTATTAGAAGACGAATGGGAAAGTTGTGGCATGGGTGAAACACGTCAGCAGAAGATAATGGTTGGAAAACCTCAAGGGAAGACGCCATTTTAGAGAGTTAGACGTATGGGGAGGAGTAATTTAAAAATGGATCTCAGTGTGGGAAAATGTGAACTGATCCAGCTGACCCAGGACAGTTAAGGAACGATCACCAGTGGCATCTTCTACTGTTTTACATGGATGTGTAACTTGATCGTTGATCCTAAAGGAAGAAAACAGATTGAGGATGTTTGGGAACAGGATGCTGAGGGGAATATTTGGACCTAAGGCGAAGAAAATAACAGGAGACTGAAAATAATATCTTACGAAGAGCTGCATAATTTATAGGTTTGTTTTCACAATGTGATCAAGTCATGGGTTGGGCCTGTAGCACACCAGAGAGGGATGAGAAGTGCGCACAAAACTTAGTAGAAATACAATCTTGGGAAACGTATGACTGGATGGGAGGATAATATTAAAATGGATCTTAGAGAAATAAAGTGTGACGGTCCGTACAGGGTTCATCTGGCTCAGGATAGGGACCAGTGGTGGGCGTTCGTGGAACCAGTAATAAAACTGAGGCTTCTATAGAAGCAGGAAATTTCTTCACTAAATTAGTGACTGTTAGCTCCACAAGAATCTCTGCTACAAGGATTCAGGTGTGACTTATCTAACGCCATGTAACAAGCAGCTCTCAGTTCAGATAGCCTACGTTAATTGTAATAGTTTGCTTTATGGTTCATAAAGTTTCATAAAGTATGATCAAAATTTCCGCTTTCAAAATTCAAATATCATATTGTAGCCGCAATTCTCTTCCGTTAGAAAGAGCTAGTCTCAATCACTGGACCAGTGATCCAGTGGATAACGGACCCAACTGAGCAGGTTTATTCTGCCCCATCTACCTGAAGACGGAGACAGATCCAATCTCCGAAACGTTGTGTTCTTTTTTGTCTTCTATATACCAGACGATGGATAGAGTCCAAAATAAGCCTAATAGTTCTGTACAGCATGCATCATCGTCAGAATCCTTTCAAGCTAACACCACCTTACAGATGAATGAATGAATGTATGAGGGGTGGGCCTTCTTGGCCCTTGCACCGCAACCACAGGGATCTCTTGTGCCTACCTTACGAATTATTTATTACATTCAAATGTCTATGAAGACTTTCCATGTCAGGTTCTACCGGCGAGCAGGACAGAGTTGAAATAACCACAAATCGATAGCGAGACGCTAAGTGGCGTCAAGAAATTCCCAACTTTTTTGTGTAGGCCTGCCTGTCAATAAACGAACTAGAATTTTTAAGAACTTAAAGAAGCCCGCTTTCTTTCAAGTATTTCGATATGTACAAAGGCATATAGTGAATTTAGTAGTTGGCAAAGAAAGTAAGTAAGTAAAGTAAAGCTATCCCTGTAACAGGCCGTGGAGGCCCATAAGGTTCTGAGATGTTGAAGGTCCCACATTTTCTAGACAATCGGCTCACAGATGGCGGTCAGTTTGTCGGCCGCCCTCTACCCCAAGAAATATTCCTGGTACTAATTTCTGTTAGAGGCTGAGCCGACCCCAAGGCCATATTGCGGCTGGGAGTATTAGGTAAAAAAAAATCCACCCCATCGGGATTGGTTCCCGCGCCCTTCCGGCTAGTAGCATAGTGCCTCAACCAACTTAGCTACCACGTGAATAAGCATAAAATAACAGTTATAAATTTCAGTCTATAGCCTGCAGCTAATACAGACTTATCTTCACATAGTACGGAAGTTTGAAATACATAGAGCCTTAATTTTACTCCTCATATATCTTCACAGCATGGTACCTGCATAACCTGTGGATTGTTTTATGTTATCTTACCTTTAAGTTTTAGCATCTTCTGCGCCTTCAGTTTCCATTAGTATGCTACATACACGTATTCACACAACGTTTCATTTGTAAGAAAGGATCACAGTTGACATATTTTTACCTGCTGGGGTAGAAATGTTTAACAGGTCTGATTTTTTGTAAATGTTGAAATTCACTTATTGTTAAACATGGGTATTGTTACAATGCGTTTAATATTATCACTTTTATGAAGTCCGGCTCAGACGTATAATACTACATAAAAAAACGACGTTTGTTTTAATCAGCACCTCTGGTTTATTATCTCTTTATTCCTTCTCGCGGCCTTGACGCATGTGCAATGGAAGAGATTACATAATATCCCAGTTTGTTCTTGAGCTCCGACGTGAATATGAATGTTTTATTAATGATCTTCTCAGAAAAGATGGTACACAGTAGTCTTTTATTGATGAATTACTCGAAGAAATGGTGGACAGTCAACTTGAAGTACTGTCGCATGTCTGCTCAAGGCAAAAACCGTGAAGTCAGTAGAGAGAGCCGTTCGAGAAAAACTGGTGTTAGGGATTAGTTATGTAAATGACAGACAATTTGCATTTTTTTTCCAACATTGAAATCCTTTTTGGTGGAAAATGATATTTCTGTTGATTCTCAGTTTCTGAAATGGGTTTGTGACCACCTCAAAACTGTGAAACAGAAATGTGAAACATATTTTCCGAATAACTTTTATGAGAAATTTCTGTGGGTTTGCGATTCATTTCAGGCTTACAATCACGAGAACGACCTTTCGTTATCGGTAAAAGAATAGTTACTTGAGCTTTCAAGTGACAGTGGGCTTGAAATGCAATTCCGTGATCTTGGTTAGGTCCGATTCTGGATCTCGCCTTCCGTGAGAAGTGAACTTCCCGAATTATCTGAAGAAGCATTGAAACTCATAATGCAGTTTTCAACAACCTATCTTTGTGAGAAAGGATTTTCATCGCTCTTTCAAGTAAAAACAAAATACAGAAATCATCTTAGTGTGAGTGCCGATCTTCGACTAAAGTTGACCAATATTGGGCCAGGTACCCAGGAACTCTGTAAGGGCCGACAAGCTCAACTGTCTCATCAAAAGTATAATGAATGTATAAGGGGTGGGCGTTCTCGGCCCACACAGTGGGCTATTGCTCTTTCATTAAAAGTAAGTAGTAACATAATTATATCACATTCTTCATTTGTTTAATAAAGATTAAAACTTTGTTCAATGATGATTCATTTTTAATAGTGCACTTCCAATTTAATTATGTTTCAATATGTATTCAAAACATGCTTTTAGATTTATTATGTTATAAATGGCACAGTTTGTCTTAAATGTTGTTAATACCATATAGGTTTAAGAAAATAGGCCTACATAACTTTGTGGTCCGTAAATTTTTTTTCAGACATTTTACTGGTCCTTGGATTTAAAAAGGTTGAGAAATACTGGTCTAGAAAAATGTGGGAGCCTCGGCGTCTCACAATCCTATGGGCCTCCATGGCTTGTTAAAGGGATTGCGGGATTGTTTTAGATTTCCGTTTTATCTATGCTCTGCGGATGTGTGTGCGTGGTATCGGTATTACTTTGTGGTGGCAGTGGTTGGTAGGGATCCGTGGGAACTACTTTACCATACCCTGTTGTACCATAGATTATTGATACTCGCTATAATTACAACGTAAATTTGAGTTACAGTTGTCTGCGCGAGGAATCGTGTGATAGAAAAGAAGGTGGGAAGTCATATGTGTGGTAGGACTTGTAACAGAGTTGCTGGATAAATGTAGTAATTTACTTTTGCGTTTTAATTAAAAGAGGGACCTGCACTCTCAGTAACGTTCAGTAATGCCGGTTGGTTTGAACGAAGAACACGTGCTTTGTGATGTTCCAAATCGATTTTGTAAGCTACGGTGGCAAAATATTGCAAGGATTATTATGAATCTTTATAATATGCCAACCTACTGCGATAGTTCAGTTAGAGTATTTTGTATTTGGACTAGTAATCTCAAATACAGATTTTGTGTGAAGTTAGGTAGAGGTTAGGACGGTTATTAAGTTCAGTAAACCAAACTCACCGACAGATATACGTTCCCATCGTACGCCAAGGAAGTTGCGTAATTAATTTAATTCGCTGAGATTAATTATAGTAGAATGCTTGTGGTTTAATTAATAGTATGGGCCAAATTTATCAACAGATACTAGGTTCTTTGAATGTCTTGAACGGTCTTAAATATTTCTGCATATTCTCACCCACTTCTCTTGCGGTTTACACGACGTGTGCCACATTCCTTTCCTGATTTTGATAACAGAATTTTTACCCTAGTTAGGTTTATTTTGAGGCATTGTGTGACTTTGTTAATTTAAGATAGTTTCTCAAGGAATACTGAAAGCATATTCTGCACAGTTGTCAGTGGAAATGTTTTTCATGTATAGTAATCCCAGTACTAAATAAATTTAATTAATTATACTAAGGAATATATGTTTTGACATTAAGAGTAGAATAATATAAATAATAATATACACTTGGTCGTCGACTTACAACCTATGCAACTTACGACCACAAAAAATGAAAAATAAAAGACGATTAAAATGTAAAAGTTTTTAAAAATAAATTATAAAGACGATAAAAAGATTAGAAAAGTTAAACAATACTGTTAATGAATATATGGCCGACATACGACCAGATCAACTTACGGCCTGTTAGTCAGAAAGGAAGTCGGTCGTAAGTCGACGACCGAGTGTACTTTGTTTTGTTGTTTTCTCTGTTGTCTTAATCCATCATCTCTACTAAGTCCAGATATGTTTCTTAATATTATTTCTTCTCCATTAACACGAGTTGTATGTGGGTGGTAGCTGGATCAGATCTCAGCTAGATTACAAGCTGTGTTGACAGATTTTGTTATCACTGTTTTCTTAATATTTCCAGGAAAATGTCAGAATAATACATTGAAATAACTGAAACAGCACCATTGTACAACGTGGAGGCAGTCAGTTATCAATAAGTAAAGCCTGAAGGTAAGTTGTAGCTATGCCTGAGTACTTTTTCAAAAAGGCATTTGTGGGTATAGAATCAAACCTCTATGTTATTTTAACCTTTGCACTGGTTGGAGGCAATTGGTCAGCATCACATTCTGAATGCTTTAAGTCTACAGAAAGAGCCTCAGTAATCCAGTGGATAGGAAACTGAGTGGTGTCAGAGCCTGTCTGGACATGTTGGCAAAATGGAAGATCCTTGCTGTTCCTTCCTGGAATTGAAACAGCTATGCAGTCTGTATCCAGTCTACTTACAGATTGTGTTATCCAAGCTGTTGTAGAGGATATGTGTAGCATTGTAAATGTATGTTAATTTTGTTGTGTTGCAGTTCTTTGTATTTTTAAATGGGAGGGCGTCACAAGAAGTTTACAAGGAAGGAAAAATCAAAGGTGAAACTGAAAACAAAGAAAACTGTTCTGACTAAGGCCCAAAATGTTACTGATACAAGCTTCAAGGTTCGCAAGATAGTGTTAAAAGAGCAACTGAAAAGTGCAGTTCTTAATGAGCCACAGACAAGGAGAAATCTCAGTGTGAAGGTAAGTGCCTGAAATTGTGTTTTGCACTAGTATGTTTTCTCAGATGCGACTTCATGTTAAGTATTATGTAGAACAGTGGAGAGCAACCAGAGAACCATGTGGCTTACTGAACTTCCCAATGTAACCCACATAGATCCTTTCTATACAGCTCTTCACACAGGCTAAAGTAAAAGATTTCTGCCTGGAATGTTGAGGTAGGTACACATAGTGAGAAGAATAGCCTTATTATTGGTCTCACCCTACATACATCTGCCCCAGACTTGCCAGCTGTTCTGGAACCATTTGCATTCCAGACCAGTTCTTGGTTTGAAGAGTCCATGGACCAAGTAGATAACCAGTTTAGGATTTGAGGTTCTGACAGTGGTAGTTGTGAAGAATTCTGCCCTTCTGGGATATAACGCCATGTAATCTGTTGACTTTCTGTGGACTACATCGCATTATATCCCAGAAGATCAGACTATAGATGATCATTGTTTGTGTAGCAGAATATACGCCTTGAAGGGAGTCCCAAAAGCAGCCTTTTGTTATAATTTTTCCAGATCAATTTTAAAATGGACCCATTCCAGTACCTGGCATGTACCGTGTCTTATCCTTGTCTGACCACATATATGTACCACTGAGTGTATGAGCTGAGATCATAACATCAGCCTCCACTACCAAATGAAAGGGCAGAAGACTGAAGGAAACTACAAGAGTAGCCATGGGAACCATGCTCAAGGTTCCATTGATAATTCCACATGCTAGCTCTGTAGGCAACCAAGTTCAGCCCTGACCATGGCCAGACCAACTCTTGGCCACCATATATATCTGCTGCATACATAAGTGTAAACGCTACTAAACCTGCATAAAGCCACACCATTGTACTGACAGGATAATATGCACAACACCTGGTGGAGTTATTTATGTCTTCTCTTGGAAACTTCGAAAGTTTTTCTTACAGATAGTGTGAGTTTAACTTCTTACCAATTTTTGTTGTTGTTGTTGTTGTAAATGTTTGAAAGTGTAGTGTAAAGATGATAGATTATAATTCTGTACAATCTTACCCTCTTGTTTTGCATACGTGTGAAACTTCTCTTGTACTAAGAGAAGAACATAGATTGAGGTTGTTTGATAACATAGTGGTGACGAGAATATATTGACGTAAGGGATAGTAACTAACAGGAAACTAGAGAAAATTACATACTGAGGAGCTTCATAATTTGTACACTTTATTGTATAAGCTAGGATGATTAACCCTTCAATGCCGGCGGGAATTTAAATTCCTACTCAACTCCTCTGCTGGAGGATATTAAAAAATATTTAGATCGGAGAGTGCAACATTTCACTTAAAGTGTAATAAACTGGGAAAAACTGAAGTTATGTTTTTCTAATTTTCACACTACATTCAGAAATTTATGTAGAATCGGTGTATTGATCCGCACTGCTTTAAAATTATTTTTTGGCACAGTAAGCCTATAAAATTATGAAAGATAGTATCATAATACTGTAGAAGTTCAGCTGGGTGTGTTAGTCATGAACACATTCCACACAGGGTCCTGCGTTCAAAGTGGGACAACAAATATATGAAATGATAGCCAGAAACTTCCTCTTTAATTTCATACCAAAAGAATTACTTTACATGAAAAACAAGATTTCAAAACAAGAGCTGAAACATAGCACTACACTAAGCATACCCTGCACCGACCCCGGAGGCATGTGACAGAAACTGCTGGCGTGCGTGGGACCGAGCCCGGAACTGAAGGGTTAAATCAAAGATAGTGGGGCATGAAAAATGCATGGGAGAAATGAATACACAATGTTGGTTGAGAAACCTGGAGGGAAGAGACCACTTGGAAGACTTAGATATGGGTATTCATGTAATAGTGAAATAGGTTGGAATGGTGTGAATCGGATTCATCTGACCCAGGAGAGAGACCAGTGACAGGTACTGTGATCACAGTAGTACACCTGGAGATCTCTTAGAAGGTGGAGAATTTCATGAATAGCTTAGTTGCTGTTAGCTTTGCAGAAGGACTCTGCTCAATGGAAGTTGTTGGTTGGAATAAGCTGTAACATCCATGGTTTTATACATTTCATTATTATCTTGTTACTACTCTGTCTAGCTTATATTAGCCCTCCTAATTCCCCATCTCTCATGTCTCCTCTTTTTTTTCCACATTTTATTCTTTTTTATGGTTCTTGTTTTTCTTCTGCTCCTCTATCCCTTCATCATCATCCTTCTCCTCTTCATGAATTTAACTTAACACTTTGCGGACTGCGCACCCTTTAAAAGGTTTTTCACTTTTAAACATGGCGGACCATTCGCGTGTTAACAGGTTTTTAAAACACGATAAGTTGCAACACACTAGACATCTCTCTGGCTCCACCTAGCTAGCATGTAGCTGCTATATTAATTTTTAAAGTTAACAGTGCACAAGTTAGGGTAGTAGGTATAAAAATGCTGGTCTGCAAAGTGTTAAACATGTTACGACTACTCAGGCATCTTCCTGTCCCATCAACATATTTATTTATATGCTTCTGATTTAACTATAGGAACTGCTATCAAGACTCCGTCATTACAATAGCTCCATGCAGAAGAGTAGTCTAGTAGGACTGCAGGAGTTAGTGACACAGCACTCTGAAGAGATTCTTGGTTTACATCTTTCAGAACTTATTGAAGGAACTGCACGATTGATACTAGACCAAGAAAACGATGTCCGCAAGGGTGCTCTTAAACTGCTCAACGTTGTCCTCACACAGGTGAAATGTTTTAAACATTTTTAATATGGCAGATATGTGAGATATATATTTACTGGAATATTCTGTGCACCAGATAAGAAATGCACTCAATTTTGGACATATGCATGTTCCCACACTCTGTGCAGTGCATTTGTTGATTGTCTTTGTGAATGGTAGAATTTAATAAATATGAATTGTAGTATGTGTATTCTTGATTAGCTATGTCAACTTTTGGGTTAGATCTGCAGCAAATGAACACCAAGACCAGTGAGAAATGCAAAGTCATGAGGAACTAAGTTGTGGTACTCTCTTCCTTGAAAAGTTCATCTGATTAAGAAAACCTGTTTTGTGAAACCCAAAGGTTCATTATGACAAACACAAAACCTGTCAGTGGTCCCTTCTCTATCCCAATTGAATCTGTTTTAATGTTCGTTTTGATATTATCCTCCTGTGTACTCCTAGTCTTTCCAACTGAACTCTTTCAGTAATTTTTACATCAAGATATTTTAATTTTCTCTATGCATGTTACATGTCCTGCCCATCACATTCTCCTTAATTTAGTAAACATAATACTATTTGAGCAGACAGGTTGCTGTAACAGTAACACTTCAGACTTGCTGGGTTTGAATTTTTGCCAGAAGAATGACTATTCTGACTGTTCTCACTTTTTTCCTGCATCCTGCCAGGTAAATGCCTGGATAATATCTTGATTAGACCATGACCACGTCCTTCCAATTTGTTAGTCATTATATCACTTGAAGTTGATAGCATCATACAATAAACCACAAAACATATAATTGAAGTACAAATTATGAAGCTGGTAAGTAATTTTCTTTGCAGTTCTTTATCTCTTAGGCCCAAATATTATCTTCAGCACTTTAGCGTACACCAAAGAACACATTTTAAAAATATGTGTGTGCCGTATTATAGTAAACTGTTGTATGAAGTTTTCATCCAGCAGCAAATAGTAATCAAAAATTTATTCACCTTAGAGTCAGATGAAATGTGTGTGAACAGACATATTTTGTTTACATAGGTACCTGAGTCCAGAGTGATGCCCTTCTTCAATGTTTTGCTGAGCTACCTTAATTGTGGAATGACTCACATCCATGTATCCATCCAGGATGACTCTCTTGCAATGCTTGACACACTCCTTGAGGCAACACCATTGCTCGTTTCTGCTAATGCTGACACAGTCCTCTGTAATTTCCTGGACATGATTTCAAGTTTAAAGCCAGGTTCCAGTTCTGAGCGTACTCTAACGATGAACCTCAACAGCAGGTTCACAAGTGTTGCGTGGCGTATGAAAGTGTTACATCAGTTGAAGGGCTTGCTATCTGCATTAGTTGAATATAAGAAGCATCAGGACAGGAAACATTCTGGATGTCTTGCACATCCATCAGAGAACACTGCTTGTTTACGTGGTAAGTCACTAGTGTTTGTTTTGTTATTAATCTCATTCTTGTGGAAGTTGGTAAATGTTTAATATCCATCATAGTGGCCTATAAAATGTTTTGCTGTGACTGGACGTTTGAAATTTTTCATGAAAAATGTTTTTGCATGTGCCGTGATAGCACAGTAAGTAAAGTGACAACTTATAGGCTTGATGTCCAGGGTTTGATTCCTGGCAGGAGCAGAGATTTTTCCTTTCACTGTCACATCAAGACTGGCTTTTGGGCCCATTCAGTCTCGTGTCCAATGGATACCAGGAGCTCTCTCCTTGAGAATGAAATAGCTATGTAATGAATTTGACTTCTGTCTTCCATCCCATGCCAAGGTTGTTAATGGGTGGAATTTATATCCTTAGTCCCATATGGCTAAGACATGATGCTTGAACACGGGAAATATTTATCTTTGTTTTACATATATATACAGGTTGTCCCAGGAGGAAAGGTCAGTATCCTGGGAGGTCATAGTATCAGTCATTCTGAGTAAGAAAGTGTATATGTACATGTGTCCTATTTGAACGGTTTCCAAGATAGAACTATTTCACTTTACAGTAGTTTGCATTTTGCGCCTAGTATTGGCCTTCCCTCCAGCTGTACTGCGCCACTGTCTGAAGCATGTGAATCAGTGTGAAGCATCAGTTGGCCGTTATGACTGTTGATAGTGACATTATAGGAGTGCTTTGAAAAATGTCACACCTTCACAAATGCTGATATGCTGTATATTCATGGCTTCTGCCATGGTAGTACTGTTGTTGCTGTATGCTGTATAAAGATCCTTTTGCATGAATTTAAATTCTGTTTCAAGGTTAACATTATGGTAATTTCTTTTCTTAAGATATCTTTTTCTTTTTGTCCATTTCCATCAATATATGTGGTACGGTCATTAGTGATTAAGGCACTATGCTACAAGTCGGAAGGTTGCGGGTTCAAATACCGATGAGGTCATTGGATTTTTTTCAGTTGACCAAATCCTTCTGGCCGCACTATGTCCCTGGGGTTCACTCAGCCTCTAACAGAAATGAGCACCAGGAATTAAATAAATAATTTTCCTGGGGAGTAAAGCGCTGACAACCTTACCGCCATCTTCGAGCTGATTGTCTAGATAATGTGGGACTCTCAACGTCTCACAACTCTATGGGCCTTCATGGCCTGTTACAGGGATAGCTTTACTTTACTTTTACCCCATTTTGTTTGTCCTTGGCCTAACCATATATGTAACTTGTGTTTGTTTTTTTTGTGTGTAGATTCTTGGACCTGGAAAGAAGATTCTGAGCTACATATACCAGTTTATAATCATCACTACAGAGACACATGCTATTTACCTAATGTCTTCAGTGTGGGGAATAGTTCTGATGAAAGCAGTTCTGAAGACAAGCATTTGAAGAAATATGTAAAAGTGCTAATACCGCTTCTGATAGAAACTTGGCGTGAAGTTGCTCTTGGTCAAGTTTGTAAGTCAAGTAACAATGAAGGTGAGTAATAACAAAGTTAGCTTACCCTCCAGCCACAGTTACATATTGTTCATTGTTTAAATTATGCATGGTATTTGGTATAACATTTCATGAGTTAAATGTAATTTGGTCTTCAGGTGGTTGGTTATCAGGAAACTGATGTGTGTCTGTGCGCGCGCGCATGCGTGTGTAGGTGAAGGCCGTAAAGTTGACCCTGTCCTTAATATAGTACATGAAGACGTGTGGGCAAATGGAGGTATAGCTCCACACATTTTAATTTAAGTGCTTTATTCAGGCAAGTGGTCATCCTTAAAGTAAGGAAAGACCTTCAGTACCCATTCAATTTGATAGGAGGCCCTGAGAACCATCCTGGATATTACAGTGGTGAGAAAAATCCTTTGCCCCTGTCAGGAATCCACCCTTTGACTGCCAAGCCCTTCCTGATAAGTATAAAAAGTAAAGCTATCCCTGCAACAGGCTGTGGAGCTCCATAGTGTTGTGAGACGTCAAGACTCCCACATTTTGTATACAGTTGGTTTACAGATGGTGGTTAAGTTGTCAGCTTTACACACCAGCCGCCCTTTACTGCCAGGAAGATTCCTGGCACTAATTTCTGTTAGAGGCTTAGTTGAACCCAGGGGGCCATAGAGCAGCTGGAAGAATTAGGTCAATTGAAAGGAATTAAAACCTGTGACCTTCCAGCTTGTAGCATAGTGCCTGAACCAACTATGCTACCACATCCCCTTTCTGTGTAAGTATTTGCTAGAAATGTGAAAAGCATTTGGGTATAAATCCAGTTGCACAGAAAAACCCACAGTACTTTCTTCAAATAACTGTAAAACAGCAGATACAGATCATATGAAGGCCAAGTTTTTCTTTCAGAGATTGATATGTCACAGTTCATGCAGTGTATTTATAAAATGCTCTAGTAATTGATTAACAGCGAGTTGATCTCTTTGTCTATGGTGGTCTTAGTGCAACTGTCCTGAGATGAAATATTCAGTATGTGGTGTTTAAAAGGTTAAACAGTCATAAGAGAGTCATCCAGCAGCATGTATGCTAGTTGCTATACTGACTGAGCTGTACCGATTCCATGTATGTATGTACCAATACATCCACCAACCTTCCTGCATTTCCCCCCCCCCCAACACACACATGTTCATGCACACACGCATGCTATAAATATAACAGTAGGGGCATCTATTAAATGAAATACAACCTTTTTATTATATCTGTCACAACACAACTAATATCAAGATCAGACCATTTTCGGCCCTTCTACATGTTTCGGCCATTGATAGCCATCATCAGGCAAAACACATGATTTACACACATATACACGCCACTGAACCGCAGCACCAACAAAATTGGATACAATATTATTAAAATATCTAAAAACACTTGATGTAAAAAATACAAAAATCAAGTTATATAAAACAGAAGTATGATATAAAATTAAGAATAAAATTCTTTTGATGTTTTTACATCAACATGTCAGTTGTTGGTTTGTGATTTTTTTTTTGTTTCATTCCCACGGACAAGTTTGAATATTCATACTTATGCGTATATAAAATTGTGTATGAGGTTTATAATGTAGATGTAGTAAAGTAAATTATAATATTAGTCAGTGCCTCATCTCACAAAGTATTGTCTGTACTGTAAGGAATGTAAACAACAACTCGATTTTATAGACCTGAGCCGCTATTTCCTTGAAATAGCTCCTCAGTTATCCTCTCGAGGCTGAGTGGATCCTGTTCCAGACCCACTACTTCTCAGAAAATTTGGTAGCGCCGGGAATCTAACCTGGGACCTCTGGATCTGTAGCCAGGAACTCTGACCACTAGACCAGAGAGGAAGTGTTTAGAAAAATATCACATAAAATTAGTAAGAATAACTTGCATATGGACAACAGACACATTGACACACACAAACCCATATTTCAGAAAATACAGGAACTTTATGACAGACAGCATGACATACACTACAAAAAGATAAAAGCGAGAACAGTTACGTCAAACGAATCAATACAAGGGGTACACAACCAACTGTGGAGAGTAAGCACAAAGCGAACATGTAAGTACACAATTACATACAGACAGACATACAAGATAGCAAATTGCACAGAACCATATTAAACTTTGCATTAACAAACATATTGTCGCATGTTGCCTATGCAGTGCTACAGATAACTTCATGTGGGTCTCGGATTTAGCAAATATTTATTGAGTGCTCACTCCTACACACTGAAGTACATTTAGTGCCCCTTCAACTACATTCTGTGGTGGCTTTCTTCTAACTCTCTCTTCCAACTCTGGTCTTCTAACTCTCTTCAACGGAGACTATCTCAAGACTGACTTCGGCGGCTGCTGGAACTTTACTGTCTTCGATGGCGGCTATACTAAAACTGACTTGTTACCGCAGAAGTGCATTATTCTTGCTGGTTCAACAATCTGTTGCTTAGGAAATGCATTATTCTGCTGTTTCAATAATCCGTTGCTTCAGAAGTGTAATATTTCCCGTTGTTACACAGTGCTTCTAACAATTTGTTGTAACCATGGAGACTCATTGTTAGATTTACGATATTGTTTTGTAGCGTAAACATGGATCATTGCCAAGGAAGTGATGGTTTGGATATGCACGTTACAATATATTATACATTACAGAGTGTGAACACCACAATATGAAAGTAGCTTGAGTGAAGTGTGGGCATGCATTCTCAAATGAAAATGCAATAGTAACAGAATATATTGACATACAAGCTGATTCAGTGCGGTGGCTACAGTCACTTAACATTTGCCTGAGGATGGCCTTATATGGCCGAAACATGTTGCAACAGTAAAATAAAATGCAATTTTAATGACATATTAGGAAATTTAAATGTGATTGTAATGACATTTTAAAATAAAAGTTCGCATTGCATTAGAGAGAGAAACAAGTGAACAAGTGACACTGTTAGCAGTTCATGCATGAGAAATCTGTAACAGACTGCACATTGCATCTGTAGTATTTTTGTGACAGGAAGTGCCTTGGTGAAACTGGCACATGCTTCTGCAAATGTAGCCAGAGTCTCAGAGGTTTATCTTAGGAAAATAAAAACATGCCTATGAGGATTGTTGTAGGGTATGCTGAGATAAAGCCTGGATTTTAGATTTTTTTTGGGGGGTGGGGGTGAAAGGAACTGCATATGTAGGAAAACCAGGAATTTCTCCTGACAGATCTGAACAGCCAGTCTAGTTTTGAAATTTATCCAGTAAGGAAGTTAGCAATTTTTAGGGAAGATTAATGTGTTGTGAGGGACCCGTCATGGGTACCTGTATGATTTTCATTTGATACTTTACTTTTTGTTCTACAGAGGGGGATATGGGGTTAGCATTGGGCCTGCATTGATGTTTCTGGAATTGATTGTTGGTTGGTTTTGAGGGATTTATTTTCTGCTTCCTTTTCTCTCTTAGTTTTAGGTCTTCATATGCATTTCCACAATTTTATTGTAAATTTTTCTGTTGTCTCCAGTTGACAAAACCTGATCTCAGGTGCATATAAAGATGTAGTTATGCTGACATAGTTTGTCCAGTGACATGATGGGCCCAATGGAGTAGGTGCCTTCACCCTTTTCACCTGAGGATGGAAGCAGACACTGTGTTCTTATAATACTGTAACGTGTTTTGATACTGAAGCTGCTGTTCGGGTTGTTAATTGGTTTATTTAGCAACCTACAAATTGTAACTACAATTAATTATGACACAGTTGCGGGGTTCCACAATTTATAAACCCTTCACAATAATCTGTTCACTCTATCTTCAATAGTCTTCACGTAGTTATAATGCGGGAGCTATACCAGTGTCACTGAATTACACACTCCCAATAACTTCTCACACTATCGCCTCAAATCACACGTTCTGGTCTTCTTCACGTTCATGATTCACTCGCTACAACTGACATTTTCTAAACTCAGCTATGTAGGCAGCAGATCTGTGTAAAAAGAAAGGGAGGATGATAAAAGAGTGAACAGTGTTTGTGCAATGAAGTGGAATTTGGCTTTTGAATTTAACTTGTAATATTTCTGGATTTCTGTAACATTGTTTGGCCTATACAGTGAGCTACAGTTTGCTGTCTTTGGAGGCTGCTGAGGTCTTGAAGTGTGTCCTGGAGGTTATCCAGCTTCTTTGTGAGCTGCTGACATCAGAGGTGTGTATCATCTTTAGTTAGATGGTTGAGTGGTTATACAAGTACACCTGTATCATGTTCAGAAGGCCCCAGGTTTGATTTTTGACCTTACTAGTCCATCCAGGCAAGTGATGTAAGAATATCTTCACTCTTTCCAGTCGAATGTTGTAGTGCATTCAGCACTAAACTTTATGTTGCTGGATCTAATATTAGAACTCCTGTCTCCCATCAGCCATAAATGGAATAACATTGGAATATTTTAACTTAAGAACTAATTCACTGTAGAAATTTTAACAAGTGAACAGTTGCCTGAGGATGGCCAAGTATGGCTGAAACTTGTAGCAGTTTAATTTTAATATTATTTTAATATAAGGAGTAATTGTAAACAAATTTGCATTGAAGACGGGAGTAAGTGTATAGAGTGATCAAATGCAACAGGATGCTGAAAAACAGTATTCACAAGGGTATGTTGTTGCAAAGAGGTTTATGGTGACTGTGGCAGCTTTGTAAATTGATGGCTATTGTTGTCACTTAATCCGAAAGTCTGCTAGTTCTCTCTCATTGAATTCCATTTACAAGGAAAAATCTTATCCTATTTCAGTTAATTCTTGATTCAACCACAAAATATGGTCATGTTTTAAAGCGGGAGCAGTTGGTGTTCATATTCAATCATACTTTTGTCTTCATTTAAATTTGGAAAATATTTTTTTTGGAAGAAACATGTAATTGTGACCCAGTGTAATCCTTTTAATTAAGTTACAAGTTGAAATCTCATTTGCACAAATAAAATAATGAAGGCATATAAACATGTTTGTGCATGCTTGCTTAAAACCATTTGACTGCAAAACAGAAACTTGTTGAAATGCCCGAAGTTTGCTACTCAGGATCAAAATGTTAGTAATTTTCATCTGAAGAGACTGATTCAATTCGTTTATTTCTTTGAACATATCTACCAGATATGAAGTGAAATGTCCAGTTTTGATCACTAAAGTGGGCAGATAGTCCCGGTCTTGTATCATGAGGAAATAAGCTAAGTTTGTCACTAGGATCTATAACTCTTCAAATCCTTTCTTCGAGAAAGCCTTCGTACTTCGGTGTGCTATAGTAGAGTTTCATGGATAGACCAAACCTCTCTGCATAAGCTGCTAAACAGTCTTGAATTGACAGTATGACTCTTTACAAAATTGACTATAGATACTACCACACTCAAATGTCATTGAGTTCACTACCAGTTTTTTGAAAACTGAAATGTTCTTTGTATGACACAGTGAATATGTTCATAAAGGACTGACAGTTCAAAAGAGAGTATGGAAGGGCCTGGAATACACCAGTGGCTTGAGGAACTGAGGTCTGAAACAGCGGCTATGGCTGGCAAGCAAGGAGACATTTTATGAGGCCCTTGGACAAACCATCAGGCTGTAGATCAGGAAGCATACTGCCAGGTCATCCAAGAGGTTTTGAAAAACGAATGTTAAGTCATTGTGGAGGAGCCAGCCACTGCCCAAGCGAAAGAAGAGACCACTAGTAGCTTAAGAGCCATAGATGTAGGAGCATCAACCACTCTTGGAACTTTTGCTGGCACCAACCAGAGGAAGATGATGGTGCATCTGGACGAGCTTGCATCTTATCAGGGAGCTGCTTGGGATGAGCAGCCAAAAGGAGGGAGCAATGGGAGCAGTTGGAAGAGTAATCACCATGAGAACTGAGTCATGGGGAAGGTGAGTTCGATCACAGGCGTCACAAGGACAGCCCTTGGAAGAAATGGTGGTACACATGTAGGCTATTCAGGATGAATAGCCTTAATGTGGGAACAATGTGGCATGTAGACTTGTTGCTAAGTAATGACGCTGTAAACAGTGCCCGCTACTAGGTAACAGATTCCTGACAGAGGGACAGTGTTTTATGTGGTCAGTGCCAAGATGTTATAACCAAGAAAATTAGTGACAGTTAGTGTGCAGTGCAGTGAAGGGAAGTGAAGGGTTGGCTGGTGAGTTAGCGAGCTAGTCAGAGAAACATAGTTCAGTTGTTGTGAACTGCTGCTGCTAGAACCTCGTAGCCGAGGCACGGTGATGGTTCAGGAACCCAGAGTAAGGGGAACATTCACCATGGGAAGCCATTACCAGCAATGACTAGTGAAGATACAGCAGACTCAGGAGACAGTACGTGCAGTAATGAACTGCAGAGTGTGTGAATTAGAGATAGTGCTATAGTTATTTGTTGTTTCTGTAAGTCGTCATTAAATGCAAGTACCAATCCAACTGTAGTCGCTCTACCACATGACAGTATGTTGTATATGTGCTATGCCAGCATAAGTGACCTGCGCTGTAACAATGTGCTTGTAACACTTTCTATTATAAGAAATAAACAGATTTTAATTTTTTGAGTGGATTAATACTGAAAAAGAATTGTTCAAATACTTAAATTGGTTTGAAAAGCACTGGACTAGTACCAGTTACAAGTAGACCATGTTACTTTCATCTGTGCCCTTCCCTAGTCATCAGTGATAATGTCATATGCTATATAGTTAGTGCAATGAAGACTACATTATTAAATGAAGTAAGAACAGGCACTGGTATGTGTGCACACGCTCATTTTACTGTTACGCTCTTGTCTACAGCTAGGTTTCCCAGGAGGTGTATTTTGTTGAGCGTTTTCTGCAAAAATGTTATATTCATCCCTCCCACGTGTGCTACATGTGCCAGCCATTTAATCTCTTTTATTTTAGTTGCCTTTAGCATTATTAGGTGATAAGTACAAATTTTAATATTTGTTTTTAGGTTACTGAATTCATCACTGCACATAGGAAGGACTTTGGGTACCTTTTCTTCCATGGATTCCCTTATAGTTGCAGCCAGAGACATGAGGAGGGAGTGAAAGTGAGAAATGACATGAGAAAACAGAAGGAGTGCTTGAATAAAGACCCAAGGTGTCTGTCTCAAAATTTAGCTATATGCCATTTGTTTTATTGCTTCTATGATGATCATAACATGGATGTTGAGCTTAGCAGTCTAATGCTGAAATATGTGAAAGGTAAATAAAATTCTGAATGAATTTCGATACCATGCTGAAAAGTATTAACGTTCTACACATTCCTTTTACAAAATGAATGGTATGAATACAGTATGGGGAGATTGTGTCAATGTGTTCATTGTTGATGACCCTAATTTTGGTTTCTCTTGTCCAGTCTAACTCTTCTGCTTTACATAAAGATAAAATTGAACTGACGATTACATTATATATGGTTATTTCACAAAAATTGGTGCATGATGTAAAATATAAATCTCGTTAAGATTTATAGCTTTTGTTTGAAATATTTTCTGACAGTGAATATTTAATAGAATACAAGGAAAAAATAATTTCTGATTTTCTGCATGTGGTATGTGTATTATGATTAGCTTTTCAAGGGTAAATTTCTCTCTACAGGAGTCAGACATGCAGATCAGTGATATATGAAAAATCACAAAGACTAAATTTGCAAAATTTGCATTGCCCAATTTGAATTATATGTATCCACCCCTGTTAGTAGTAATTTCAGTGTATTTACTTTATTTGTATAGGTTATACCGATGTTTGAATTTCCCTAGGCAGTATGCGGAACTGGAAGGAGCAAGATGATAGAAAGCAACTGATGCAAGTTCTGAGACATCTGCTTCAGTGCCCGAAGTGCTGGGGTTGTCATGGCACAAATTTGAGAAAGGTGCTAGATAGTACTGTGGCACACTACAAAAAGACTCATGACCAAGACCTGTTTGAAATCCTCAGTGGTCTCAGTTTAACTGCAGGTCTAACACATCTTTACAGGTATCACTGGTTTACTGCATGTAGTTACTTCTATCACCACGTGAGACTGCTTCTGGCCCCCCCCACCTGCACAGTAGGTACTAGGGTCAGTTTCCCCAGGGGTTAGTTTGTCATATCATGAACTTTAATATTAGAGTTAATTTTTACTGACCACACAACACATTTTTATTATTGTCGCACTACATGTTTCGACCTCAAGACGTCATCCTCAGGTGTACGAACACAGTTGCACAATCACACGCAACCACGTTTGTTTTTCCACTTATTTCGATCCTGTATCCTGTTCAGGTCCACGCTCAATAATATATGTCAAGTTCTTCTTATAAAATACAAGTTAAAAATACTCTTCCAAATGTTAAAAGTTAAAATTTAAAATTTAAAAAATTAAAAAAAAAAATATATATATATAGTTCACTTTAACTAGTTATATTATTACCACTGGTTAAAAAGTTCCTGAATTAAAGTTCAACTTATCATTTTGGCTGCACTTTCACTTTTGAAGGTCTTGCTGCTCTTCCGCATCCTCTGATGGTGGATCTATTACGTTCCTTGTCATGATGGCTACATGAAGTAAGACTAGACTCAGGCGGTCGATGACTATGAGAGAAATAGACCCCCTGAGTCTTATCTTCTTTAATTTTAATATTCCAGTACTCAGACCATGTCTCCATTGAGCTGAGACTGCACTGGAGTTTTCTGACTTCTGTCTGGAACTGTCGTTATATAGCCTCCGCACTGATCATGCAGAAAACAGCCCCTATTGTTGAAACGTGTTTACTGAACGTTGCCTAGCAGCAGTCACTTGTTATAATACAAATTCTTGAAAAAAAAAAAAAACCTTGTTTTATGCAGTGGTTTACTATGTATACAGCATTACGAAATTGAAGGCTTCAGGGGTGCTGTAGGATTTTTGGCTCTCACAGAGGTAGCTTTAAAGAATCTGGTCATCTGGGGTGTAGTAGGCCAGTAAATGTCACATTTACTATTGTGAGATGTGTCTGATTACTTTGGATTTCGACTGTTTCACCAAACTGTAATAGAAATCGTTTGACAGTTGTTATTTTTCTCAGAAAAACACATTAATTTAATGATACAGGATTTTTGTCTGTTGATTGCTTTGGCTGCTCAAGAAATGTACTGCTTTTACAGAAAATGAAACTTTATTGACACATTCCCGAAAACCACCGGACCGGGGTGTAGATCATTTCAGTGCATTTCACGTCCTCATAACATATTTGTCTGAATTTTATTGTGATGTTATTCACCCATCTGATTGTAGATCTCCCAAATGACCATCTTTGATGAGGTTTTGCAGCGGACATTTTGTAGACAGTTTTCACTGTGCATGCTGCAAGTCTCACACATTTCATCCATTTTGATTTAATCACTGTAGTCGAAACAAACGTCTAATGACTTGTCTGGAAAATGCAGAAACTAGTACGTATGTAGTCTTAAGTGATATTACAATCTAATAAAAGCATTCTGGATTTTATTTAGGTATGCAAGCTTTCAGGAATGGATGGAATCTCTGCCTGACCTTCTGTGTTCTCCTACTGTCCCTGCCACAACTGTTGAGATACTGGGAAAACTTGCTTGCCAGAACAATCCACTCTTCTGTAAAATCTTGTGTCAGAAGCTACCTGACATTCTTAGTAAGTACAATATAGTTAGCCATACAGTTTACTTATTATCTTCAGAAATTAGGATGACTTAATTGTGTATATCTTAAATGAAGATTATTTACTGAAGTGATTATCTGTGGGACTGGAGGACCGGGGTTCAATTCCATGGACTTCTGTCTCTTCCACTGTGTCTAGACTGACTGAATTCTGTGCATCCTATACACAGAGTACAGCTGTAGTATTTAGAGCTGACAGTCCTCCGACGCCGAGTAGGAGAAGAATTGGTAGGGGCAGGGAGAACTCCAGCATGCTGACAAGTGTGGAGCGGAATGCAGTACAGGCGTTCTCAGAAGGAAATAACTTCTTACCTCATTGTGTTGCATAGTGTTGGTGGTTTAGTCTTGATGATGTTCACACATCCAATGTTAAGTTTTAATTGCCAAATGGCAGACTGTTATACACTTTTCACTGTTATATACATGAAGAGTTTATCTACATATTACACAGGTCTATTCTAAAGGGGCAACACTGGCAATGTTGGCATAGATATCATTTCCACATGCCTGTCCTTCCTCATCACCACCAGATGAATCAGAGCTATCATCAGAACTGTCATCACTATCACTGACAACATGGAAGACAAACTCCTGTCCTGCGTCCAAAAGGCCTTTCCATGCCATTAATTGTTGCTCAATGTTCCTTACATGTTGGCACCTTTGTTTCCATCTTCTGCAGTTATGGAAGCCAATTTATGGTCTGCCAGTTTAATGACATCATCTGTCTTAAATGTGGTATTGTTTTGAGCAATCCAGTTTTTTACAGTGGCCCATATTAACTCAATTGGGTTGAGTTCTGTGTGATATGGAGGGAGTCGTAAAATATTTTGATTGTGTTCTGCAAAGCTTCCATCTATTTTATAGGAAAGGTATTTCGGTTTGAGTGGTAGGATCATATTATATATGTCTGGATTCCGCAATGATGAAAAATCAGTGTTATTGAAGGTGGAAGATGATATTTTAGCCAGGATATCGTAAAATCTCTTCTTGAATTTGAGTTAGGGGCTCTGTTTAGTTGTACATTATGGTAGGGAGCATTATCAATGACAAGGACAGAATTTGGGGGAAGGTTAGGAACAAGTCGCTCCTTTAACCATTTTTCATAATTGGTGTAGTTCATGTCACTGTGGTAGTCTCCTGTTTTTTGGTTGACAGCTTTGGAAAACTTGGAAACTGAGGTGGATGTTAATAAAGCTTGGGAAACTATTAGAGAGAATATCAAAATTTCTGCCAAGGAGAGCCTAGGTTATTATGAACTGAAGAAGCATAAGCTGTGGTTTGATGAAGGATACTCAAAATTACTAGACCAAAGAAAACAAGCCAAACTGCAATGGTTACAGAATCCAAGCAAAATAAATAGGGATACTCTGAACATTATAAGACGCTAAACCAGCGTGCATTTCAGGAATAAAAATAGCGAATATCTGAAAGACAAAATTGATGAGCTTGCAATGAACAGTAAGAACAAGAACATTAGAGACCTGTATAGAGGAATAAATGACTTTAAGAGGGATTACCAGCCTAGCAGTAACTTAGTGAAGGATGAGAATGGTGATCTGCTTGCAGTTTCCCACATTTTGAATATGTGGAGGATCTACTTCCCTCAGTTATTGAAAGTAAATAGGGTCAGTGATGTTAGGCAGACAGAAATCCATACAGCTGAGGTGTTAATACCTGATCCTAGCCATTTTGAGTTTGAAAGTGCTATTGCAGAATAGAAACAGTATAAATCACCAGGTAGTGATCAAATTCCGGCAGAACTTATTCAAGCAGGAGGAGAAATATTATGTTGTAAGATCCACAGTCTAATTACTTCTCTTTGGCATAAGGAAAAATTGCCTGATCAGTGGAAGGAGTCTATTATTGTACCAGTGCTCAAGAAGGGTGATAAAATTGACTGTAGTAATTATTGGGGGATATCATTCTATCAACTTCATATACAATTTTCTCCAATATTCTTCTTTCAAGGTTAAGTTCATATATAAATGAAATTATTGGGATGATCAGTGTGGGTTTCAACGTAAAAGATCAACTACAGATCAGATCTTTTGCATTCATCAGATATTGGAGAAGAAATGGGAGTACGATGATACAGTACATCAGCTATTCATAGACTTCAAGAAAGCTTATGATTCAGTTAGGAGGGAAGTATTGTACAATATTCTAATAGGGTTTGGGATACACATGAAACTAGTTAGGTTGATTAAAATGTGTTTTACATGAAACATATAGTAAAGTCCATGTAGGTAACATTTGTCTGATAAATATCCTATCCAGAATGGTCTAAAACAAGGAGATGCTTTATCGCCACTCCTTTTCAACTTTGCCCTAGAATATGCCATTGGTAAGGCCCAGGGAAACCAGGTGGGACTGAAATTAAACGGGACACATCAGCTGTTGGTCTCCATCGATGATGTGAATCTACTGGGTGATAATGCAGACACCATAAAGAAAAACACACAAACTTTAATTGACGCAAGTAAAGAGGTTGGTCTACAAGTAAACACAGAGAAAACTAAGTATATGTTACTGTCTCGTCACCAAAATGCAGTGCAAAATCATGACATAAACATAGGAAACAGATGTTTTGAAAATGTGGCACACTTCAGATATTTGGGAACGACGATAACAGATCGAAACCTGATTCAGGAGGAAATTAAGAGGTGATTGAACTCGGGTAATGCTTGCTATCATTCAGTCCAGAACCTTTTGTCTTCCCGTCTGGAGAGATAGAATGGGATGGTATGGATTGGATAGATCTGGCTCAGGATAGGGACCAGTGGAGGGCTCTTGTGAACACGGTAATGAACCTTTGGGTTCCATAAAATGCTGGGAAATTCTTGAGTAGCTGCAGGATTGGCAGCTCCTCCAGAAGGGCTCAGCTCCATGAGTAAGTAAGTAAGTAATGTCATATGAGCATGTGCCCTCTTCACAGCAAGTAAAGCGTTAGAATCTATGAAATTAAGTTGTTTCAACTCTGGTGATATGGAGAAAAACTAATTTGAGTTCTTTGCATCTAGAATTTTTTTATGGCGCAGAACAAATAAGGCACAACTCTGACATTCTTCAAAGGACCATCATTTTGCTGATGCAATGAGTATGAGTGCAGTTGAAGGCACACCATTTTTAATATTTATAGAATTAATGATTATAGTATACATGTAAATGACCGCCTCTGTGGTCTAGTAGTCAGAGTTCCTGGCTACAGATCCAGAGGTCCTCAGTTCGATTTCCGGCACTGCCACCAGATTTTCTGAGAAGTTGTGGGTCTGGAATGGGGTCCTTTCTGTCCCGTGAGGATACTTGAGCTACTTGAATGGAAAAGTAGCGGCTCCAGTTTAGAAAACCGAAATTAACAGCCATGGGGATCCATTGCGCTGACCATGCGACACCCTCTATCCGCTAAAGNAGCCATAGGGATTCATTGCGCTGACCATGCGACACCCTCTATCCGCTAAAGTTGGTAATAACTTCGCCGACAAGTGACAGTCACTTGGTCAGTATAGTTTGTGTGCGGACTGAAGCCGTGGAGTTTGTTTTGTTTGAGTATACATGTAAATTCAGTGTAATGTAAATGAGTGGCTTTACAGTGTATTTGACATCTTGAAACAATTTTTTTTCATGTATTTCCTTTATGTCTGCCATTTCTATTAATAATATTTAATAAACCACAATTCCTTACTTGCTTCAAATAGGAAAAGTGTTCGTGTGACATATTTTATTCAGAATAATTTGACTGATATCCTTTCAGTTATGCCTCTTCTTTCCAGAATAATCTGTATAACCCAACCAATTTCTCACTGTACTACACACTTCATCCTGGAAGATGGAGGGAGCATGTTCCGCCATTGGTATCTACCTAAAAGGCTACATGGGGTCACAGTTGAGAAGACCACATTCTGAACAGTCACTTTTATTGGTACTACTGGTATTGATAAACTGTAGCCACTAAATCTGGTTTGAAGAGAATGCGACTCCTAAGAAGTAAATTAGAGTGGTTAGCTTTAAGTTTAGTTTATATTTTTAATTCTTTAATATGTTAACTACCACGAATAAAAATTGCATTTCAGTGTATTTCATGTTTGAACAGATAATTTGAACAGTGTGCAAGTGACTGGAGCAGATAATGAATGTAAAGGCAGAAAGAGCATCAGTAACATCCTATACTGGGTGAAGGATTGGTCAGGAGATGCACTGACAGCATTAGAAAATCACCTGCAGAGTGAAAATTTTGATAAGGAGTTGGCTTCTCACATTACTGATTTGTTGGCATCACGGTAAGTTGATTTGTTACAATAAAATCAAGATGTTTCATAATTGCTTAAATCTGCCTTTTACTGTAATTACAGACCAAGTTTTGGTATTCCTTTTTAAGTGTTATTTATATAGAGATATAATATATTGCAGTGTGCAGCCAGTATTACAGTATATAGTATGCATATTCATACACATCTTGGTGTGTTTTTTGTTGTCTCTAGGAATAAGTGTCAGTTCTGTAGTATTATTTGTAACAGGAAAGCAACACTAAGGGTTGCATGATCATGAAGATTATGTGGTGGTCGAAGAATAAGAAACTTGACTTCTGTACCATAGGTCTTGGATTCTTCCACATGCCTCTCCCTTTACTAGTGTTTAAGTTAAAACACCCTACACGTAGGGAATACCAAGCTGCAGTTTTGGTTTGGTGAACATATTAAGCTGTAATATCCCTTTGTGTACATAATTTTCATGCTTAACTTAAATGGGTCTCCACTTCTCTGTAATGCTACACAGTCTGCTTGTATATACTTTACTTGCATTGCAATCCAGTTAGCATAAAATAAGGTAGGAAGACATTCCAGTTTTAACCTGATGCTTTCTACTAAATTAACACAATATTAATATGAAATACAGGGACAGAAAACAAAAAAAAATATATATATTGTTATTAAATGTACTTGATTATTAATTGAATGTTTTAGCAAGTTGTAGTAAAACTACATCTGACACATCAAAACATGTGTTGCAGGAAATTAAAATTATTGTTGGAATATATGTCAGAAATGGGTACCATGGGTAAAATTGATGAATATAAAAATCCTTCACCATTGCTTATATAGGCAGAGACCATGAAGCTCTAATAGATCATATTTGGGGGCACTATTTGCCACTCTCTTAAAAAGCTTCTTAGAAGATTACTAAGTGCTGATTCTGTGTCAAGTTTGTCAGATATAACCTCAGAGTTTTGTACATTCGCTAAATTCATAGTTCTTAACTAGTAAATAATACTTCATACACAATTTAGAGGAATGTGAATGATCTATATTCATACAGAATTTAATATTTCTATCTTGAATGGTAAAGAAAGAAAATGTAAAGCTATCCCTCTAACAGGTCATGGAGGCTCATAGGGTTGTGAGACATTGAGGCTCCCTCATTTTCTAGACAGCTCACATGTGGTGAGGTTGTAGCCTTATACTCTGGTCAGAATTTACCTCTATGAAGATTCCTGGTACTCATTTCTGTTAGAGGCTGAGTTGAAACCACAGCCATAGTGTGGCTGGAAGGATTAGGTCAATTGAAAAATCTGGTGACGTCACTGGGAATTGAACCTGCGACCTTCCAGCTTGTAGCATAATGTCTCAATCAACTGTGCTACTGTGTGGCCCAACATAAATGGTCTGTTACCTTTTTCTGTCAGACTGACAGCTCAGTGAAAATTTTTGTGTGGTTGCCACATTATTTTACATTGTGCAAACAATTACTTAACAGAAGCTGCATATTACCATACATCATACGGGACCCTATATTAAATGGCACTAATACCTGTATTGCTCTCACTTCACAAGTTCATATGTCTACCATGATATTATTATTGGTTGTAGGATTTTAAACACAATTCTGACATAATATTGTCACGTATTGGGTGTATAACGCGACAAATAACTTCACGCCATATTTGATGTAGCAAATGTTATTTCACATTCGCACTTAAAATCACCCAAATTACAGATTCATAATTACTGCTATCTGCAGTATTACAAATACTACACTCCAAATGCCAGAATACAACTGACTGGTTGCTGGCTAACTCGGAACTAACTCGGAGGTAGCTCGAGGACTAACTGTGAATAGCCTTCGCTGCTCCTTATGTAGCCTCGTTCGGACAATACAGAAAACGGCCACGTAATAGGCAACCACTGTTGTCTGGTGCTGTCGTGCTAGCAATGCTGTGTACCGCTGTTACTACTGTCATCTCTCGCAACCACTGTTTACCCGCGCTGCCTAGCAACCCGTGGTACCCCTTGGTGACATCACCGCTGTTGACTCGCGTTGCATAGCTACCAGGATGCTGGGACTCAGCTAACTTCGGCTCCGCTAGGCTCACTTCAGCTGGCGNGGGGCGTCATCCATAGCTCAACATGTCACAATATTCATACCAAATTATATGAGAATTGGACATTTCATTAAAAATCTGGGAGGAATCAATACACCACACATACTGTCAATTTATTAGTTTATTTAATGACGCTGCTAGTAAAGGTGTCCTTGCATCTAATGAAGACATCCAGTGGAATGGAGGTATAGCTGTGCATTTTTAACTTTGGGCCTATATGGGGGTGAGTGGGCAGCTTGTTGCCCTGGCCGCTATACCTCTAGGAAAAATTCCTGAGTACCAATTTGATAGGAGGCTGTATGGGCCCCAGAGCTGCTCTGATTGCTATGGGGAAGAGAAAGACCTCTTGCCCTGCCTGGACTCGTCCTGCCCACAGCCTGGTTTCTATACAGATTAAACTATCGTCTCAAGACTGTATAGTGTCACATGATCATATAACAGCAAATAATAAATTGGGAAGGATGTGAAAGAAGGTGATTATGGTCTAATTTAAAACACTATCCCAGTATTTGCCTAGAGGGAGTGACAAAACCCATGATTTAACTCAGGATGGTCATTGTGCCAGGTGGGATTTCGACCTTCAAATTACTTGTAAGAAAATAATGTATGAAAGGGAAGTGATATTCTGTTATGCCATATATATTGATTGTGTGCAGCCCTTCTGGCGCACTTATATGAATGACACCTGCTTCTGTCTGTTTATGAATGTACCCTTTGTGCTTGCATCCTTTTTTCCTGGCCCCCTTTCCAATACCATCTTCCCTTGGCACAGGGCAGCTCTAAACCAGACAGGCACTGCCTACACAGCACATGATGAAGAAGGGTGCTTTCTGAATTATAGTTCTGTCTTCCTTCTAGAAGTCAACCTGCACTGTATCTCTCACCCATGAGTTGCAGTTTTAAATAGGCTATGAGCCTTCGGTTTTGGTCTCACAGGATTGACACACTGCAGGTCCATCTAGTTATGTTGCTGTATTTGCATTAATGACTTCTTGGTTTGTATTTGTTATTGTATTTTCAAATTTATGGTTACTTTTAATAACATGCTGCTTTTATTTTACAGTTTTTTTTTCACTTTTGGTTATTTGTGCTGCAATATTAGTTCACGAAATCTACTGGGCAGCACACTAATTCTAGAGGTGTCTTATTTTGGACGAACTGGATCATTAGGACTGTTTTGAACTCTTTCCATATAATAAACAAAATATGAATTTGTGAGATTTAAGGTTCTCGCATATATTCAACAGTCTAACACCGATCTCCTGAAAACACTTGATGATTACTGACTCCTTTAGTTTCAGCAATAATTAAACAAAGCTTTCACTTACCTGAGTTCAGAGATCTAGGTGTATAAATAAATATTATATTAAAATATGATTGACTGCTTGCTGAATCCTTTCATAATATGTAATTCTACAGGAAAACAAACAGTCCTAATTGATTTCAGATTGCACTGAAATGGGATTCATTTTATCTTTTAATGTAGTGCTCTCTTATAACATCAACCTGAAGAAAGTATTAAACAAGTTATTTATTTGTAAGATTTGAGGCTTTCATGGCGGTGACTATGAAGAAAGCAGTTTTCTGGGATTTGGCACCGTGTATATGTGGTGTTAACCGACGTTTCGGAGGAACGTATCGCCTCCATCTTCAGGGTAGAAGAAAAAAAATATAAGAAATCTGCAAGCGAAGAGACTGTGAGAACCGGTAAAAGCATCTACCCTGAAGATGGAGGCGATACGTTCCTCCGAAACGTCAGTTAACACCACATATACACGGTGCCAAATCCCAGAAAACTGCTTTCTTCAAGTTATTTATTTTATTTGCTGTTAATGTGTAATAACAGTGAACAGTGAAACCCTAATATTGATTGTTTTTTCACGAACTCTCATACAGTTTTAACTTCTCACTAGTTTGAATAAGGATAACAGTGAATAGCTGCTGTGACTATATTTCTTGTTTATTATAATGGAAGAGTTTGTCATAGTCATAATTATTAATTTCATCCAAAATGAGGCACATACAGAATTATAGAATATCACTTCCCATTATCACATTAACTATATTTTATTTCCTTTTAAACAGTTTGATAATCATGAATGTTCGAATGCCACTTATAATTCCTTCTGCTGTGTACACCTAGTGTACACTGTATACTTTTATAATCATGTTTTAATAAGGACAGGTGCTGATATGTGGATGTGACAAAGTTTTCAACAAAAGTATTATCAGTATATTCAGAATAAAAGTAGAACTGAATCAAAATAAAAACTTTATAATGTAATTATTCCCTACTATTTTTGGATATGTATTTATGTTATATAGTTTTATGGTAAATTGTGTTGGTATTGCTTACCATTGCATACTATTACAGATGAAGCCCTGTATATGAATAATATTTGTAAGTTTGTTGGTGGGGTTGCAGTTTATGCAGACATATCTCCTTATTTATGAAGGGTATGTCCCTGAAACAATCACACATAGTGAAATTCATGAATAAGGTCATAGGCTGGTAAATATATAAGTAGGTACCATTTAATTAATGATGTGTGGATGGAAAATACATTAAATGTTTCTGAGATATTGCCAGTACAACAGTGAGTCAGAGACAGGCAGAAATGGTATACTGCATATGGGTTAGATGCTGAGAAGATGCATGAAGCTTGCAATGGTGGACAAGAAATTATTCAAAGAAAAATTGCAATCGTGCTTTATTTGGAGCTGGACTGCAAATAAGAAAACTTAAAAACAGTGAATATGGAGGGATTACTGTATTTTTATTCTGAAGAGTTGTCTTATTTTGTTACAGGGTACCCACAGAAAGGAACACACAGTAGAAATGGTCCACCACAGAAATACAACTTACTCTGCTGACCTATGTGTTAATTCTGGAACAGATTTTGAAATGAGTGAATGGTGTGTTCCTCATATGCCATTTCACCATATGAAATGAAGGATCCTGTCTGTACAGGACTTCTAATACACCACTGCACCTAATACAGTGGAATACAATAAAATTAAATGTTCCCTGGCATTGTGGTGTATTAAAAGGTAATGTAAAAAGGCTTTTAAATAAACTTGTAATATCAGAATGCAGTCCATTTAAATGGTACTGCAACAGATTAAATTCCAATATCATTTACATAAGAAAATGTGGGGTGCTATACTCAAAATAAAATAATAAGAATAGTTAATAAATTATTACATACTAAAGCATAATATAAAATATACAAAAGTATGTTATTACCTGTTAATTTATATTGTCACGATTTAGGGGTGTGAACTGGATATTGGATTTTTGACACAATTCGGAATTACAACACTATCGCTGATCTCCACACTTTAGAAATCACCAGTACACACTGAGTCGTCTTAGTTTTCATGAGTTGTATCCTGGCAGTGGCTTTTAAGCCAGTAATTATGTCTCACTGTAACTAAAACACACACAAAATCTTCTTTTCACAGCCACATTCCTGCAACTAACTCTTTTCTCAGCCAGACTTTTAACTCTCAACTAACTGTAGCGCCATCTCTTCTCAGCCTCCTTTGCAGAGCTCGTCTGACCTGCCAACCCTCAACTAACTGGATTCAAAGTCAGAGTTACTTTGCGACTGCTTGTTTACTGCCAGTCTGTCTTGGCATCAAGCTCCTCGAGACCGAGAACCAGAGATTTTTCTCCCCCAATTGAACCCTTATGGTATTTGTCCTTATGTAACATCTTCAGTAACGAGAAGACTCGTGACTTCTGCTTGTTTCCTGCATAATTTTGTTATATAATCGTATACATATGGAAGGTTAAAAGCTGTGTCCAAATTGCGGACCGTTGTTCACCTTGGAAAATTTCCAGTGGTGCACAGAACCTTGTTTTGCATGTGCTGCAATTTTAAGAGGACTAATTGGATTGCCCTAATTGTCTTCTTTTTAACTCTTCAGCATGAACGTGTAAAACACCCCAATTTTCATTGTAACTTTATTATTGTGTGCATCTAATTTCCATGAGAACATGTTACATAACATCATTGCTTTACTGTTGTGAGCATTACCTAGCAACAGTTGCTGTTTACAGAGTCACCGCTTAGCAACAAATGTGTACACTACAATATGAATGTGAAACAGGTGGAGGACCATTGGAAATTCTTTTGTGGACCACGAGTTTGGGAAACTCTGAACTAGTCTGATTAAAACAGCATGTAACAAGCTTGAGAAAACAAATGCATTAAAAATTTGTAGTAGTACAAATACAATGGAATTGGCACAGAATGAAGTCGAAAAGAGCTTTTGTAATAACAGTTACAAATCTTAGGCTGCATGAAAGTCAAGAGATTTCTTCTTCAGCTGAGTAATTATATCAGCTTCTATATGATGACTCTGTACCATGGAATTAGGAACTCTGGAAATATGAGGGATCTTCTGATAGCTTCTGCACGTTTTATTTTATAATTCTGATTTATCGATTACAAAAACACCATATTTTTTCTCCATAATCACCCTGCTTTTCAACACATTTTTCCCAGCGTTATCATAACAGAAAGTCTTTGGTTGTGCACATAGCCACTGATGCATCATATTCTTTACACCCTTGTCACATTGAAATCATCTCCTTCCTAGAGCTTTAACCCTTCACCGCCGGCAGGCATTTAAATTCCTATTCAATTCATATGCCAGAGGATATTTAAATATTGAAATCATCTCCCTCCTAGAGCTTTAACCCTTCACCGCCGGCAGGCATTTAAATTCCTATTCAATTCATATGCCAGAGGATATTTAAATATTTAATAAGATATATAAAGTATAGAATATACTGTCTACACAACAATCAGTATTCAAAACAAAGACACTACTGCATCAACATTTGCTTTTATTATGTTTATTAGAGACGCAACATGTTTCGACCCTTTCACAGGTCATCAGGTGTACAGTGCACCAGTCTGAGCTGCTGAGTTGCAATCAATTGTCATTTTATTCATCGAATAAGGATCCTTATTGTGTTTCCCTAATGTTGATGCAGTAGTGTCTTCTTTGTTTTTAATACTGATTGTTGTTATGTAGAAGGTATATTCTATACTTTATATATCTTATTTATGACACAAAACTGGATGCACAATATTAAGATTAAATATTTAAATCGGAGAGTGCAACATTTCACTTAAAATGTAATAAATTGGGAAAAACTGGAGTTTTGTTTTTATAATTTCCATACAAGGTTCAGAAATGTATATAGAATCGGTGTATTGATCCACACTACTTTAAAATTATTTTTTGGCATAGTGAACCTATAAAAATTATGAATGATACTATCATATTACCTTAGAAATTCAGCTGGGTATGTTTGTTGTTTAAACATTCAACACAGGGTCCTGCATCACACCAGTACACAGTTTTTGACACACAACACACTGTTTCCGTGGTTTTGATTTCTTCGCAGTTGGTGGAATCTTGCTTATAGAATTTCTTTCTCTTAGACGGAGCCATGTTTTGTGTGACGAATGTTGACCCAGAACTTTTTGTTCTACAGCACTAGCATATTTTACAGACTCCCTCAATTAACTGAATTCTGATTGACAATTGATCTATTCTTTTCCTTGTGTTATTCCTACATGTTATCATTGAATTCAGAAATGTTCTCTTTGTCCCTAAGTTTTGCATATTCTCCCAATGGATGTTTGTGCTTTTCTTGATTCTGTCTTTTACCACAGAATCAAAAAAAGCACAAACATCCATTTTCAATGTCTAATTCCGAATCCAATAAAAAAAACTTTGTTCTTATTCAGTCTGAAGTAAATATATTCTCCACTGGTCATGACACAGCACAGCTGGCCACTTTGCTCCTTGCGGCTGGCCTTGACTAACCAGACTGCATGATGTGTACTTATAGAACAAAGGGGAATTACAGTAGTACCATTTATCATTTTCTACGGTAGCATTCATAACACACTTCTCAGAGTCGCTGATTCTCCACGTTTTCTCGTAGTTACAAATACCAAAGTTGAAGCCGCACAGTTCAGAATATGCCTCAAGAGAATCGACTTTTCATTCAATCAGCATAGAGGATAGCACACAGTATCGATCTAACATATTTAGTTCATAAGAATTCCCTTAGGAAGAGGTAGGTTTGTATGGTAACAAGCGCACCAAGTGCTGAAATAGAAACATTTTCAAAGAAGGGTTAAGCAGTCCAAAAAGGTGAAAATCAGATGGCACCAAATCTGGGCTGTGAGCTGAATATCCCGTGACTTCCCACTTCAATTTCCTGAGAGTTTCCAACGTGCGGCCACAGTATGGGGACAGGCATTGTCATGCAACAACAGGACACCCTTGGACAGTCTCCCTCTTCTTTTAGAGCAGATTGCAGCTTTCAGCCCTCTCTGAAGCATGTTGCATTACTTGTTCCACATTCTAGGTAGGTCTCAAGACTGGGCTCATGAGAATCCTAGAAGGTCAACATCAACTTGCCTGCTGATGGATGCATCTTGAATTTCTTTGCAACAGGAGATGACGGATGCTTCCATTGTGTGCTCTTCCACTTGGTTTCTGGTGGATTGTGGTGAACCCAGGTTTCACCTCCTCTGATGACCCATTGTCACTTTCTTTGTGATAATGAGCCAAGTGGCAGGAACAAATGTCTAAGCACATGCGGTTATGCTCAGCCATCAGATCCT